AGGCCTATATACAGTACGTATCCATTTTACACAAAAAAATAAATAAATGCCTACCTCGAATAAACACCTCCCTCGAATAAACTCTCCCTCAAAAACCATTCTCAACAATAAACGCTTCAGGGCGTTTATTCGACGAAACCCGGCCTCCGGGACCAAAAATAATAATTTGCCTATTCATATAACGTTATTTTGTCAATTTCTAATATTGTGGTATTAAAAAATCCCCAAAAAGCTCCCAACGTTAACACATGGATTTTTTTTATGCCAGCACCCTGACAGAGACTCTAGTCAACCCTTTGATTCGGGTGTATAATTACTATTATTATTGTAGATTATTAATATTTATTTATTTATTTCATTTAGGTATACATATTACCTTAATTAAACTTTCTACACTTGTTATAAATATGCTTGTAAAACATTTTATTTGACAGGCCTACTTAATTAATTTTTTTGCTGATGCTAGCTAAATTGCTAATCAAGTTTCATTTACAGAATAAGATAAAACCAATTATTATAAACTACAATAAGTAGTTATTATTATACAAATAAACAGAGATCGCATCGCACCTCCCATTGGAAGGCTTCTAAATTCTCAATTTCGCAAGTCTGGGATTTGCCTCTTTAACAAATAGACATGTAATAGATAGTTTCTTTTTTCCCCGATAAATCATGTAATTTTCTTTCTTCTTTGGAAAAGAACAATTTCCATTTATGGATGAATAAATCGATATCTATGTCTATGCCATAAATTTCCGCTACCTGTTTTTAATGTTTTACTGCTTTTGATTGACTTCCAGCAAAATGGGTTTGGCAAAATGGGATTTCGGCAAAGTGGACTAGGCAATCTGAGATTCAGCAAACTGGATTTCGACAATATGGAGTAGATCCGAAACCCCACCACCAGGCCCTCTCACAGCACAAATCGGACGCAATGCAGTGACTGCGCCATAGATTACCAGATATGAAGATCCAAATTGCTAGACAATCCATGCCTGAGGAAATTTCACCCTGAGACTGTAAATTTTTCCACTAGGCGAATTTATTCGTGCAAAACGAAAGCGCCGTTCATGCGCAGGCGCATTTACATTTCTATCGGAGTTTTCGCTTCAGCGAAATTGGTAGTTCGAACTGTTTCTACTTTTTGCGAAGCGATAAATGTTCGCAACCAATCAGAGCTCAGGAACCGAACCGACACCTTCGATTCGCTCGAATAAATTCGCCAACTCCAAGTTTGAGAAGATTTTTAGACGATTTTTGTTTATGTCGGGCAGATTTCAGTAGTAAATCCAGGCATGGGGGATAAACTAATTCCTCAATGATTCAAGTGTTATGGAAGATCATAAAAAAGATGCGCCTATGAGACGACTCTGCACGTTTTTCGATCGTAATTTGCTATTTTAAGATTCGTCTTATACGCGAGAATATACGGAACGATTGAAATCCAGCCTCCCACATCATCGTTGTTGTCATGAATGACATTAGAAACTTTGTCGTCACCTACAGTAGCTGTCTTTGCAAATTTCATCGACAAAATTACTAATGCCTGCTGTTTTACGCTATTACAACAGGAATGTATTCGCACGGTAAATATCAAGCTAAAGCTTGGTTTCTTAAGAATTGCTAAAGTTGTTTTCTGCCATCGTTGAACTAACGTGCAGTCCCCAACGCAACAAGGAAAAGCTCCCCGATACGACCAACCAATCAGCATCTGTCGGCTAGTGTGTAGCGATTTTGTGGAAACTCGGTTTTACTCACATGCATCGGGGTTAGTTGTTGGCATTCTTTTGTCGGCACTTTCGTTTGTTACCATAAATTTTATTTTAATCTGAAGCGATTGCGCAACCCATCACCAGGGGCGAGCATTTGCATGAACCATAACCAGAAAACAAGTTTCGAAAAAAATTGTGCTCAAAACGTACGATCGCTCACAGAACACGTAATTGAATGCTGATTGGTCATTTTTTTAGCCGAAGTCAATCAAAGACCTCCCCCCACCTCCCCCGCAGCGATTAAAGCCCGGCTAAGAAAAGTTAAAAACAGTGCCACGCCAGGCCTACTGTAGTTACTATAGGAACACAGCCCGGATTGAGATAAACCACCTAGTTCAGACTGGCATGTGGATAAACATGGTGAGTTGAGCCGGGTTTATCCACCTAGTCTGAACTAGGCCAATATCATATGAATATACATTTTTCTTTACAGTAGTCATAATAAAATACAATAAATTCAATACCACTATCAAATGTATTTCATAATTTATTCTATCAATGTTATCGTGACAATTTTTTCTTCAACGTAATGCTATTGCAACTTAAGATTACCAACCCAGCATATCAAAGAATTTTAATTAATATAAAATGTACAGTATATTATATTAAAGAGCAAAACATGTAAAATTAAAGGTAAACAAAAAAAATGAAATATATTCAATCATTACAGATAGATATTTTCACCATCTTCATATTCAACACATTTTCAGTTTTTCTTCTCATCCTCCTCTAAAAAATAATCATATCATGGAGGAATTAGTCCTTTATGACCATATTATCTACAACAAAAAGACTGTAATTCAATTACTGTAGAACTGCATTCGCAATAAATATCAGTATAAAATGATATACCGTATTGTATACATTCTAAACGTTTCGTGGGAGGCATTTTTGGGTGTAAAATGGATGTGTAATATACTCAAATAAATGCCCCTTAATTTCACAGTAAATGTGGAACTATAAACACATAGTTAATGTGTGATTATGAAGACTTATTGATCCAAACAAGGTAAGGGGCCTATATTTGAGTTAAAATAAAATGCCTTGGGGCGTTTATTTAAATAAATACAGTAACTGTTTCTTTGAATTTGATAGCAAATTACTTTTAATTGAATCACAACTTTTTTGTAGTATGTACAGGATCAATTTTGCACTAAATTTATTAAATTAAGTAGAAAATAAGAATGCTAAATTTGATCAACTGATCACAAATGAAAATAAATGTTTATCAATAATTCAAATTTGAAATACAAATCTACTTGGTACTGTAGTAGTAACAAATACAGAATAGTGATTAAAATGCTGCACATACAAGAAAAGAAAATTAAAAACTGTGTACATAAATTATCAAGTGACTAAAGTTCAATATATAATATACATTTATAATTTTTAGAACAATATACTGTATCTCATAAAATGTTAATTATTATAACTTATTATTATTTCTGGTATACTGTACATAAAGCAAAGGACATGTCATGCATAATAAATCATCCAAGTGTAACTTTAGACAATCCAATGCCAATCTACCTGTAGCTAGCCGTTTAAAGCCCCATTCCCGGCAAAATTTCAGTTGTTTTTTATATATGTTATAAAGATTTATATATATAATACAAAATTGCTAGTTTAACTGAATTTAGACATCCAAAAAAATGTAAAAAAAGACTGAAATTTGAATTTTTGTGTTCCACACAAAAACTAAACACGGATGAATTTTTTATGTTTGATTTTGCCATAGGTCTGTAAAGACATATACAGTAGTAGGCGCTCGAAACATTAGCCTATCAACACTGCTGGCTAGGTCTAGCTTTACCTCGATTTAGGTTTCATTATCGACCAAAAAAAACCAAAAAAACGGCAGACACGATATTTTCCATTGCTAGTATTGACAATTATTTTTCCAATTTGTTAAAAAAAATGATTCTGACTGAAATTTTAACAATTAAACAAACATCTCTCGCCTACTCAATCGACCGCAGTATGTGAGATGCAAAGTACAAAGACTAATCGCATTAGAAAGGGCACCCTTTATTGACTGTATAAAGTATACACAAAAGCGAGAGCATTCCAGCGGATGGGATCTACAACCTATGAATTTGCCTAGTAACAAAGAAATTGTCAAGAAAATGGTAATCTCCTATGAGAAATATATTTCTTTTTTTTTTATCCTTTTGCATAAAACTAATATTTATGCCAATATTTTTCCACAATTTATAATAGCACAATATGCATGCATTTTTTTCTAAAAATTTCTTTTTTTAGTAAAAGTTTGCTGGGAATGGGGCAAACTGGGGCAACATCCTTTGCAATTTTGCAAAGGATGTTGACATTAGACCTTACATAAAGATAAAAATTATTTTTAATAAAAGAACACCAAAAAAATAATACCATTTAGGCACTTTATTCGCTTTAATTAATTTCAGATAGTGAAACATTAAAACCTAAATTTCCTCTGTATTCTAGTCCCTTATTAACTATGCAGACCTCTGAATTGTATTTTGTACAGTATAACAAACATTAAACATACATAAAATATAAACATTTATACAAGCCCAACAAAAATTACCAATTCACATGTATTTGACCCTTAATTAGATCTATCGGACTTCAAAGCTCAAGACATTCTAGTTATGGTACTATTTGTTTGCGCTACTGAAATCTACTGGGTCAAGCGGTAAAAATACCCAGAGGATGACCCAAACCACCCCCAACTTACCCACATACTGTATACTCACATAAGCATGTTTGTATTATATGGTGTAAATAAGGGTTACTACAAAAAGTCTTCTTGTAGACAACAGATTAGAAACCTTTCGTATTAAGAATTAAATATATTTACTCTGTCATCCCAACGAAGATTTAAAAGGCTGTCAAGAAAATACTTATTATCTTATTAATTATTTTTTTGGCTGTTTCATTAAACCTTCTTTCAAGTTTGCACAAAATGTAAATATACAAGGTAACACTTACCTGATTAGCAAAGGGATATTACCCCCTTCCTTATGGCAGACAATATGCAATATAATATGATTATTATACGTTTATATATGTAAATTCACATACTCAGGTGTTTTTGACATTCCTGTTCGCTTTTTTTTGTTACAATCACCAAGCATTAAATAATATGTCAGACAAAAGTGGCTGGTGTGCTTGAACCATGGTGGGAATGTCTGTTTCTATCTCTAATTTGGAAGAGTATACTCAGGCACTTTTGACATTCCTGTTCGCTTGTTTTGTTACAATCACCAAGCATTAAATAATATGTCAGACAAAACTGGCTGGTGTGCTTGAACCATGGTGGGAATGTCTGTTTCTATCTCTAATTTGGAAGACAACCAGTCTGAACTAGCTGGTTTGATCTAGCTGCAACTGATGTGATCTGGCTGCAACTGGTTTGATCTAGCTGCAAGTAGTGCACAAATGTATTTTTTATCTTGAATTTATCACATCAGTAGTGGTACCATGTTGCTGAGCCTGTGGAATGTGTGACTGATTTGTCTTCACTGATATTATGTACATTTCGGCCAGCTCAAGCCACCACATGAAGCAGAAATAATAAAGTATATGACCAGCTGAAAAAAATATCAACATACATTTAAATCAAAATGTATACAATAACCACTATAAAAGTGCAAGACAATAGTTTATTTAAAACTAAACAAGGGCAATGCTTGTACCTGTATTTACAAAATTAAATTTGCAAATTTATTGTTTATTTTTTAATGATCTAAGTTTAATAAAGAATGAGTTACACATGTTTACCATAATTGCTAGCATGCACACCTAGTTGCTTTTATAGCTTATAGCCTGATATTTTAAGGGGCCGTCCATTTATCAGTGGGAGGTTACCCCATAAAATATTGTTCAAACATAAATCATATGTTGAATACATTTTGAGAGTGTGATGAAAGGCAAATCAATAAAATTTTAGAGTATCATGTAAATCAGCTTGTAAGACACTGTTGTAGAGTACCAGCAATTGTTAATATTCTTTGACGAAACAGGGCATAAATATTCCTACAGTAGTCCTACTACCTCGACAATGAGAGTCCCGCTCGTCCTAAAACACAGGATCAAAATAGTTGAAAAACTTGATGAATACCATTCAATATTAGCAATCAATATTAATACTCACAATTATAACGATAATAAGGATGATTGTGAACTTTGCATTCTTTAAACACATGGATCGCGACAGGTTTTTGCTTGTCTTCTTAAATGTCAATGACTGAAATATAATTTTAAATCACAGATTAGCATAAACATCATCAAATAATAAAAATGTTAATAATAATTACTAATATTTACATTTCAATAGAAAAATGTAAAAAACATAAAAGCAAGATGTAGTACAACACATTATTATTATTATTATTATTACTATTATTATTATTATATTATTATTATTATCACCATAATTATCATTATTATTATTATTAATATTATTATTATTATTATTATAATTATTATTATCATTATGTTACTAAAACCTATTATTATTATATGCCTAACTGTAATATATGTGAATTGTAACTTTGTATCTATATGTTATGCTGTACCCTAAGGAAAAAATGTACTCTGTACTAAATAGGCGCCCACCTCCAACTTAAAGAACAATAAAAGGTTCAGACACCTGTCAGCAAAATTCTGGTATAATAACAATAGTTTTGTACTGTGCAAGTCCTTTTATTTTAATGTATTTCAATCGTTTGAGTCATAGGTCATGTAGTCTTTGTGGGTCTTTCCCTCTAGCTGTTTTACTTCCTCTTAAGCCTTTCTACACCTTATGCATTTCCAGGATATGACTGAACCCATTTAGTTTTTTCTAAGTATCCTTAAAATGCAATAATTTAAACTTCTATTGACATGGGGGACTTTTATTCCACCTTGTTATCAAGGCCCCCTGTATGATATGGTATAACAATGAGACTTATAATTTCTATCACTTGTATTGAATTTTAATTTCTCTGAAAAATGTTAGGAAGTCTAATAACATCAATATTCTTACACTGGACTCAAGGTCTTCTGTTTTATCAACCAGTAATTCCAAACGTTCTCCTCGATTTGTTATTGTATCTGGAAATTTTAAAACATTTATATTATATTTCAAATTCATCATACACTAATTTTATTTTATTTAATTATTTAAACATCTATCAAAATACAAAATGTGCAACTCATACAAGGTACAGCACACATAATACAAATTCTGGTTATACCTAATTAGGCTAAAAGTCCCACAAAGGTTCAGCCTCCCCTCCCTTTTTAAGCCTCCCTCACCTCTCTTTTTAAGCCTCCCTCCCCTCTCTTTTTAAGCCTCCCTCCCCTCCCTTTTTAAGCCTCACTCCCCTCCCTTTTTAAGCCTCCCTCCCATAAAAAAAACCTTGCTTATACCACACTGCCATAATAAAAATGTATCCTACTCTCTTTAAAATTGTAAAATTGCAGCTGTCACAAAAATCAACACATGACCTTCTTACTAACTAGTAACCTATCACGATGGTATACCAGCAGAAATATGATAATGCTTGTTATACAAGCTTAACGATCTTAGATAAACATCAATGGAAGAGGCGAGTCGGAAGTGGTTTGGTGCAGTGAGAATGGTTTGTTTTCCAACTAAGAGGTTGGGGTATCATTCCCTCACTGTGTATTTCGCTTGTGTCCTTGAGCAAGGCCCTTTATCTTTGTTGCTTCTCTCCTTCCAGGAATATAAATGGGTACCTGGTGGGGTTGCCTGCTACTGCTACAACATTTAAGCACGTGGAATCAATGAGCAGGGAAAAGAGAGCGCTTGTAACCTAAATTAAAGGCGCTATAAATACCAAATAACAAATAACTTACCAATATTTTTAACCATTATCCTATTTAACTCGTCTAGATCATTCTGTACTTGGGTCAACTTATCACCATTTTTGTCTTCACTGAATTTCATCTGTGTTAATAGTCATTAAATTAAAAAAATTGTGAAAAATGTACTAACAGAAAATTTTAAGAATTTTAAATGTTGAATATATATACAGCACAACAATCTAAAACAACAAACAAATTGATAAAGAAAGAAAAAGAAAAACCAAAATCCAATTTAGCTCATCTATATCATTCTGTACTTGGGTCAACCTAGCACCAGTTTTTTCTTCACTAAATTCATCCGTGTAATCGTTAATAAATAACAGAAATTTTGAAAAATGTGCTAATATAACATTTTAAGAATTGTAAATGGTGAATATATATACAGCATAACAATCTAAAACAATAAACAGATGGACAAAGAAAGAAAAAAAAAAGACCAAAACAGGTAGGTTTTAAGTCTTGTCTTTAATACTGCGATGGAGACCCATAGTTGGATGGCGAACGTCATAACCCAGTCACCATGTGTTTGCAGGTGAAGATTTTAGGGTAAACTGCTATAAATTATAATACATTGTGTAAATAATGGAGTACCACACACTACAGTACAGTATACTTTACATTGGTTATAGTGTATTCTCACCACTTTGGCCTAAAATTATGGCAAACAATATACATTATCGAGATAACCATAAATTATATATAGAATCAGTGGCGGATTCAATGGGAGCTGAGCTGGCCTGAGGAACCCCTAAAATTTTTCAAAATTATAAAAAAAAATGGAAAATATTATAGGAATACCATAATTAAATTTGCCTGAGAGTGCCATCTAGCGGTGCCATAATCATAAATGTTCTTACTTTAGCCTCAACCATGGGGGGGGGGGACCCTCTGTCTGTTAAAGTCCCTTACTGGGCCCCACCCCCCTCTATTTCAAATTCCGGGATCATCCACTAAGAATCATCATGTTAATTTCAATGTTCTAGCTTAAACAGCTGGCAAATAATTACTGTACATAGAGAAAAATATGAAACTCACCATTTCTGTGGATAAAACTCTTGAGAATTCACTGTTCATAGCAAATGGTAGTGCTGTCTGTGCCCTAGCACCGTATGTATTTGCAAACCTCCTCGAAATTTCATTTAAATACATAAAAGCTTTAGATCTTTGGAAATCCTGTTAAAGAAGAAAAGCCACAACACAATAAAGAAAGGAGTAAACATCTTATCATTTTAAAAAAACAATTGAGGAAGTAATAAATTATACCTGAAAATTTTTTTCTTGACAGTATTTGGTCCATGAGGGTTAAATTTTCACAATTTCAAGTATTACTATAAATTTTAGCTATTAAAATATGAAGTTAGTTGAAGATATGTTGATGGATATTTCTTCAATGTTGAGCTATTTTAATTAAATATTAAAAATGTATACTGTATTTGGTGTTACAGACGGGACATTTAAAATTATATTTCTTTTACAGTGAACCTGTTAACAATATTTTTGTGTGGACCCAATTACTCTGTATTCATTACACCAGGAATGTCCCATCATAATTAATATTTTTTTTATTAAAAATTGCAGTTATGATTTTTTGGTATTAAATTTAATATCTCTTTCAGATGAGGGGAAATATCAGAATATGTAAACCTTCATAAAAAAAAAAAGTCACGGCTAAATTTGCGGCCCATGCAATTTCTAAAAAAAAATTTAAAAAATTATAGTTTATTATACTGTATAGTTTTATAACCAAGCAAAAGCCACAAAGAGTATTGATTTGGGAAACTGAGAAAAGTGAGATGGGCTGGTAAACATGATTAAACTGAGTGAATTTATTATTCTCTTAATATTAAGGGTTTGTTCCTAGAGTGAGTAGGACATTAAAGGAATATTATTCTTAATTAATAAATGAGGAGAAGTAGTGATGGTACCATGTGTTGAAGGCTGAGAAAACTTACATCATCTGTGATACAGAGGTAGGTAATTCTATTCTCCGTCATATAATGGAAAAGGTAGCTACCATGGGAGTATGTCAATTTGGCGTTCTCGGGTGAAACCTTGAGCAAGATTTGCTCGACAACTTCCGCAAAGTTGCCTTGGCAAGCTGCATGTCGGGCGAGGACTGTGGTCCCTCTTGTGACCGTTGCGAACAAAATAGACATTCTGGAAAAAAATAAAATAAAATAACCAAGATTAAGAATGTATTGTAAGTCAGAAATTAAAATTAAATATTAAAATAATTTCAAATAAGCATAACTTAACAGCCAAGCCCAAGTACGGGCCTATTAGAGAGATTGAAAGATTTAATAATAAGCATATGGTTGGTACTATAATGAATGCACTGCAGACAGCAGCCAGCTGACACCACACAAAAAACAGGCAATAGCGAACCGAAGAAGCCTTGGCCTACAGTACAGACAAGTCGACTACTACAGTACTACTAGGCCTAGCCTAGATAGTTATTAAGACAATTATAACATTTCATGCGAAAGATCTACGTTAGTTTAATAAACCTTATTCTTGTTCTATTACATTAAACACGGATTAAAACTAAGTTCCAACTACCTGAACACCAAGAATCACGGTGAATTCCACACTCAATGATGTCGATGAAGTTTTGTTTCGTGACCATTCGTCACATGATAAAGGTCATTACCAAGGTCATGAAACTGTTATTGAACTGAAACTATGGGTGGCAGTATACTGAAAGTGCTAAGCGTGTTTATGTTTGTTAGAGAAGTACTGTAGTCTGTACTGACTGTGTACAGTGTGTACTTAAAATAAGTTATGGCAACTACTTCAAATGAGAATTCCGATGCAAAAAAGAGGCGACTAGAAGTTGTAAGAATACATTTAGTGTAATGGCTTATAATTGAATCTGATGAAGAATTATTGAGTAACCTATGAAGCACCATGTGTTTTGTAGGCCTACCCCAAACATGAGTTGACGCTACGTTGGCGGAGAGGGGAACCGGCGAATGTCTTCTCTGGTTGCTTCCCTATCTATGCGTCTGTGGTTAGGCCTAGGCCTAGTAATTTTTAATTTAGTTTAAATCTGTGTATGTATAAGATTTTGAGGCACGGTTTTGTACATAATTAACTGTTATCCAAAAGACAAGCCGTGTGCCCAACAAAATGTTTTCCAGAAAATCGCTTGGAAAATAATTATGCAGAATCGTTATTGGTTATATATTACGATTACTGTAGTTCATCATAGCCTAATTTTCTGCAAAATCTGTTCAGAAATTGGCTCTTATTTTCCAAAATGCGCAGAGGATTGCTAGCCTAATTTTTGCGTGGAGGATATTTTCCCCAAAAAGGCCGCCTTTACAGTCTGGAAAGGTATTATTAACACAGCCATTCTAGGTACTGCATGTGAAGTGTGTTCAAATCAAAGGTCCAATATCAATCCAATGTATGTTTTGTCTTGAAGGTTCAAGCAAAGGATGTTGAAGATGAAACATGTGCAACATATGTAATGCATGGAGAAGACCACACATTAGGAAATTCTCTCAGATACATGATCATGAAAAAGTAAGTCATTAATTTATTGTCTTGACCACAAAACAAGGCAAAAATGAAATTTAGTTTCCTTGTTGCATAATTACTGTACACAAATGATAGAGTTGGGGGAGAGACTGGGGGTGTAAATATTTTTTGTGGGAAGGGGTGCATCCCCTAGATAAAGCCACTGATGGTCAGAGATGAAGGAATTTGAACCCAAGGCCCTGGACTTCAGCGACAAGTATTTTAACCACTAAATTGCAGTTTCCACTTAGTTTGAATTGTTGAATTATGGTGTAAGCCATAAATATGGCCGAAATAACTCATCAAGTTTCTTCTTATTTTCAGTCCAGAAGTTGATTTTTGTGGATACTGCATTCCTCATCCCACTGAAAATAAGATCAATCTGAGGATACAAACCAAAGGTAACATATTAAATAGTGTAAATGAATGCATTAGTTAAGGGGGAGGGCATGTGATCACAGTTTCACAATTTACCTGAGGGAAAAAAATGGCAAATCAAGAACAGGAAACTTTCTTTATTCTGGCCTCCATACCAAAAAAAAAAAAAAAAATCCATTCATCCATATTTCATGAGTTCTGACATCCTAGGTTAAAGATTCAGATATATTGTTTTCCCCTGCTCCACCCCCTTTTTTTTAGATAGCGCCAACCATTAGATTATAAGTAGGGACCAGCTTCAATGACCTGTGACAACAGAAGGGATTGGCTTAGAAAATCTTTACATTACAAGAGAATGTTTACAAATAGGCCTCTCAATGACATTGAAGTACATCGTTACGATTTAGTTAAAAGATTCTCGATTTGACATGTTTTTTTTTTATACGCCACTCTGGAACAAGCTGGTACCACTGAGTTACAACTGAATCCTAATAAATCTTTGAAACCATTGAGTGATAAATCACTATGGCTACCACATTTAGATTATATGGTATGTAACACATTAAGATGTTGAAAGAATGAGTCACCCAAAAACCATATAGTTACTAAGAGTTAACAGATGTTAAACAGTAACATAGCATTATCATGTAAAATATGAGAATTTAGTTGAGTAGAGCTCTATTTCCAACGCATTTAACCCTGAAAAAATGTATACTTGATGGGAGAGGTTTATTTTACCTCCAAAGTGGTCATGGACTCAATATAATAAGTTTTTTTACTATTAATTAATCTAAACACAATTGTTTCTCTGTAGGTGCAAGTACGTCTGATGTGTTACGTAAAGGTCTACATGATTTGACGTCGTTGTGCGGACACGTGTTGTCAACTTATGAGGTAGGCCTAAACAACTCATATCATCCTTTTACTATCATTTATATACAAATGCAATGCAGCTGTAAACTCCTCCTGATAAACACTTTAAAACATTTTGTGCATGGTAGAATTACCTTACATAAACATTGATTATTTTTTTTCTGTTGAACTGCCTTACATAAATTATATCAGATATTAAAACATTTTTTATATTATATTTTATTAAATTTTATAATTAAATTATACATTTTTATGAGTATTTTTATTTATAATTATTTACCATTCTTCCATTATTTTACATATATTACATATATATAATATATATATATATATATATATATATCTGTTTTTCACCCATTCTTTATCCAGTTGTTTAATTTTTTTCATTATTTCTTGTGACTTCTTTTAATGAATATTTATCATTCTTCTATAATTACTATTTTTCACCCATTCTTTATCCAGAAATATTATTTTATGTATTAATTTATATTTTCAATTTTTGTGATTTTTTACATATTTATTTTTTATATTTATATCAGTATTTTTCACCCATTGTCTATCTAGAAAAACTATGTTTAATTTATTTTATCAATTTCTGATATTTTATATTTATTTTTTGCAGGCGAGTGTAGAAAACTTCAAGAGAAATCAAGGAGAAGAGATGGAGACATCATGACACAGAAGGCTCTGCTTTCTGCTACAGTAATCTCTAAAATATCCTCTGTCCTTGTTCACATGCAATTTGCATTATAGAAGTGGAAAAGTACAACAATCATTTTTGAAATGATAACTTTATTTATATTTAAAGTATATTTTTAGCCCAAATGGGCTTAGGAATATATTTTTTCTGTGTAAAATTATTTACATTACAGATACTAAAGTTTATACCTGTACTATCTGATAGTTTGGGAGTAAAAGATTATATAATTTGGTCTCAGTATGGTTTGGATAAATATGTTAATGCCAAATTTAAGAAGTCAAATTATTTAGCCAATCTGCCAACATACTATGTTATTTTCAGGAATAATTATAACTAATAAAAATACATGATTGAGGAATTCACTTTTTCTGTTGAATTAGCATCTCTTAGTTATGACATCGAAATTTGTCACTTCGTTTTGAATAATGCTAGAGGGTGCTACACAGGTGTAAATAAGGTTTACCGGTTGAGCACCAGTGGTTGTGTAACATCATATTCCAGTCAGAATTAATTTATTGCTCATATTTTTTGATTTATTAATAAAAGAAAAATACATAAACCCACTCTTTATAATGATCTGCATAAATGTGTTGTCAACTTATTCATGCTGTGGTTTCAGAGTTTTTAGTGCACAAAGTGTTTACATGGGAACATTATTGTATGATAGATTGTCAGGACACAAAATATAAGTGGGAAAAAAACCCAGAAATTCACGATGATGTCTTTATTTTGTGATGGCTTCGATGGGAGTATGACAGCCCTCCCACGGATTTTTTTTTGCCCAGAAATTCTGTTTCCTCTGTCTGATATTTCTTCAAATTTCAGGATTTTTTTTAATGCATTACATGAAAATGGGTATAGAGAAATAAAATCCTTATAGCTCGATGGTATTATCACTCATGGTTGTGTTCTGGTGCATCTGTTAATGGCTTCAATAAAAATCAAAATGGATGTTTTGTGAGCAGAGTAGTTGGATATTTCTTCAAATTTCAGGATTTTTTTTATGCATTACTATGAAAATGGGTATAGAGAAATAAAATCCATATAGTTCGATGGTATTATCATTCATGGTTGTTCTGGTGCATTTGTTAATGACTTCAATAAAAATCAAAAAGGATGTTTTGTGAACAGAGTAGTTGGATATTTAAGCCCCTATTATATTTTTTGTTTAATGTTGGTTGTATTTCTATTTTCTTTATTTTGAAATAAATAAAATAATACCTACTACAGCATATCCAATCATAAAAACTACCTTTTTTATAGTTCCTTTATATAATTAATATAATAATTATATTGATATTGTAAGAGCTCTCAGGCATTTAGTAGTCAGATCGGATTTTATGTAAATCCCTATTAAGCCCTACTTAATCCCTACTTCAGCCATCAGGGAGCATTAAATAAAATGTCTCATGGATTCTCCCAATTTAACTTCTTAATTATAACAAATATTTTAGAATATTATTATTTTAATTTTACATAATGATTAGTTTGAAGTCTATTCACACTATTTGAGTTTCAGAAGTACCTATTATTTTCCCATGTGTATATGATATGATATCATCATTCTCATTTATGGATGTGATATGACATCATAATTCCCATATTTAAGCAAGTGATACAAATGTGTCACATACAGTTTCAAATAGTGTGGCTATATCTGAAATCCGAACATAGAGAAAAACAATATCTCTGTTTATTTGTCCATAATACAACAAATATAGGCTTAGATCTAATACCGGTACTATACTGACATTGTGTAAGAGCTCATGTTAACCAATTTGGTTTGGTTACACCAGACTTAATTTTAATCGTTACATAATTCCCGTAGCGGCTTAATAGTATTACTATGAAGTGTTGTGTTGGGATTCATATCTAATCTTTCTCATGGTTGTTTCCAATTTACTTCATTTTTTTTATATTATTGTTAAAAGCAAATATATGCTGCGGAATTGATATTAAGTCTGAAGCAAAACATTCTATACTTGGCCTATTTTTAGACGCACCATAACGTGTTTTCTTTCTTTCTTTTTTCTTTTTTTTTTCGTTATTTCTCTCATCTGTTTTTGTTAAACGCATAATAGAAGCTCCAGCATTATGCATCATCATCATCATCATCATCATCATCATCATCATCATCATCATCATCATCATCATCATCATCATCACCATCATCATCATCATCATCATCGTTATCATCGTTATCGTTATTGTTATAATTTTTACTACAGTATTATTATGTTTGATGGACAAGTTGGAAAAGTCGACCAAACATGGATGCTATAGGCCTATCTGATAGGGATGTATTTAATATAAAAGTTGTAATGACAGGGGCGTTTATAAGAGAGTAGTTAAGAAAGAGGTTGCCGAGAATCTGTAAGATGTATACAGTTCCGCTAACTTTGTTAGTTTTGTTCAATGGACATTTCCGCCGAGTGTCAGTCACCAATCAGAACATCGCTACGTATATGCTCTTGTCCCGCAAACCACGTGTGTCACAAAAACGTACGCGTTTACGTTGGCCTACGTTTACATTTATTTTTTCAGACCTTAGCAATTATCAAAGGGGTGGGGCTTAGCGAAAGGTCCAATGACGACAGGAATGATATTAAGATGGTCTCTTTATAATAAAAATACACTTGATTCTTATAACGTTCCAAATAAGCAGATTAAACAAGAGTGTATTAGCTGCGATAATGACCTCACGAGCTGCTGTACTCTGGTAGTGACTGTATCGTGACCTGTTTCATTTTATTATGAGTAACAAAGAAAGTGGGACAAGAGTTACAGAGGTCAGATTGCATATAGCCTGGTATCTATTAAATCGCTAAGCGTTTGCCGCTCCTTTCTACGACGCTGATCGGTTGAAATGGGGAGTTTTCCTGATTGCGTCAGGGACAACTACGCAGTACAACGCTTGTAGTGAAAATATTGTACCGACGGTGCAGGTGTAGCGATTTTATGGGAACAAGGCTTTAGCTAGGTATATCTCCATATTGTACATAATATTACATGAGCATAACAACAAGACATATTTGTGGTATTATTATCCGCTTTATTGACACTCGAGTCCACCGCGGCCTACTTCACTAAGTCCTATTGAAGTTTATAGAAGTATTGCCTCTTAATCTAATGTTCTGGTATATTTTGAGAAAAAAAAGTTCTCATCCGCTTGTCGAGTATAAAATGAAGAGAAATGGTAAACCTCTCAGAAAATAAAAAAGACGTTGGTGAGCAGAACTATCGTCAGGTATCAGGTTTGTATTCCATTTCTCATGTTTTAAAATTTGATTTTTATGCGTGTAACATGTTAAGCTTCTACATGTATATCGTTTCGAATCATTGACATTTCATCATTTAAAACTTATTAATAAATGGTAAACCTTATGTGAATGCTTTTTAAAGACGAGGGTCTATTACTTTTAGGCCTACGCTTTATTCAGGTGATGACTTTAAGCCTCAAAGACAGCATAAATACGGTAACGATCATTGTTGCAAATTTCTTAAGTTCTGCCTTTTAGATCTGTAGACCATAACAAGTATTATCCATCCACTGTCCGTATCGAAAGAAATTAAACAAACATAAAAGTAAAATGTAACTACAGTTTCCTAGTCTGTAATTTAAAAAGATTAATTTTTTTTTAAATGTTTTTAGCATTTATCACTTGTTTATTTATTTATTTATAAATTGAAAGCATTTTCCTAACAAGTTTTCCTGGTTTTTGTAAAGAAGTGTAAGAGATAAGCCTGAATTTCGACAGCTTTATCTTTTGCTAGGTGAAGCGTTCAACGAATTTTAAAGTCTGGTTCCAAAGCTCACGGAGCTTTTACCGGTCATCCTTGCTTCGTCTTTTAAGTCAAAGCTATTCTTTTCGTCTTTTTTACATTTGAAAACGTAGGCCTACCAAAAATCTTATCAACGACTGATCATATCTCCCGTTCTATAGTTACATTCATTCACGAAGAGCGTGCTAAATGTCAGTATCATTTGAAAGCCTTGCGAGGGTAACCAACCGATTTGCTGTAAGCCTACAACTGGTTAATAATCAAGAAGAAATTCCATGTTTTCTTAAAGTTGCATTGCCGTGTCAGTCTGAAAAATAATAGTAATATTATTAACGGGTAATGATGAGGCAGCACTATAACTTTCAAGATGTAATCTATTTAGAAAGAAACTGAAACACACATAGAATACTCAATTTTGTACGTTTTTCTAAACTTATTGCACTACTAATAGTAGTGTTATTATGGTTAAATACTGTTATATTAAGATTTCTTTCCCTTTTTCTATAAGATAATGAACAAAATGACTATGGACACAGAAAGCTTCATAGACGGAAAAAGTAGCAGACGATCGGGAGTTCAAATGGCATTCAACGTCATTATCATTGCTTCAATTGTATTCATCGCTGTCATTGGTCAATACCAACTACTTAGACTCTCAAGTCGGGTCGATAGTCAAGATGTTCTTCTGAAAATTTCCGAAACAGAGAATCCAACATCTGACAAGGTAAGAGGGTCTTAGTATAGATAGGCATGGAAACCTGTTCATGTAAATAGTCATTTTCAGCAACTCGACCCACATCTTCACACTGAATGTATTACAAGCTGAAAAATATTTAATTTATTTTTGTATTTTAACGTATTGCAATATGACTTTTTATCTTACAGTCGAAGCGAAGTACCAGTTATTGCAGTTGTAAGTCAGTCCATTATATTATTATGGAGAAGAAATAGGGCTAAACATATTATAAGCCTATCAAATCAGTAATTCTGTGCTATATGGTGTTTGATTTTTTTTATTGTTTTTATAGGCCCTATTAGTTCATATTGTAAACTCAAAGTATTTCAATCTTCGTTACAGTCCAGTATATTAATATGGAGAAGAAATAGGGCTAAACATATTATAAACCTATCAAATCAGTAATTCTGTACTAGGGCCTATGTGGTGTTTGATTTTTTTTTTTTTTTTTTTATTATTATTATATCATATTGTAAACTCAAAATATTTCAATCTTCGTTACATTTTGAATATTTTATACCAAATAAATAATAAATCAATAAACAAAATAAATGATAGTAAAACGGGTTTTTTTGTCTAGCAAACAATTTATATTATTACTATTACTATTATTATCATTATATTCATTAATAGCATTGTGTATTGTTATATGTCAGCAAAAGCCTAATAAATGGCTTTAATACTAGCATAATTATATACTGTAAAGTTTTAAAATGTTTTTACGTGTAGGCCCACCTGGACCAAAAGGGGATAAAGGAAGCAAAGGAGACCGTGGATGGAAAGGAGATAAAGGTGACAAGGGTAAGTCACTCTCCCACCTCCCCGCCCTATAGTCTGCCATAGGGAGCTTTCGATTTGCGCGACGACGCGACGCTGCTAAAACGGATTCACCCATGTGTGGCCGTCCCCTACGTTCTCTACACTGGTCAAATTGTGTCCTGTTAATCCACGCGACGAGAACTTAACTTTCTCGTTTGCGCAAATGACATTTTAGTGACGTCATTACATCGTGACATCGATAACTCTCTATTAATTGAGAACCTGACAGAATGTGAATGATTTTGAATAATATTGATCTGGTTTGAAAGTACTTGATTTGAATATTCATTTTGAATACAGGTGACACCGGACGTCCAGGGGCACCAGGACCTAAAGGACCACCTGGAATGAAAGGTGTCGGCGTGAAAGGTAAGCAACTACATTATTTTTTTAATTTATTATTGATATTATTATCATCATAGTCCTTATAATTATATTCATCACCATCGTCATCCTCATCCATTATTATTATTATTATTATTATTATTGATCATTATTATTATTATCATTATGATCATTATTATTATTATTATTATTATTATTATTATCATTATAATCATTATTATTATTATTATTACTTTTATTTTCATTATTATTATTATTATTATTATTATCATTATTATTATATATGACCAAAAATGAAAAGGAAAACCGGATTATTAATAATTATTTTCCTTTTTATTTATTAGGAGATAAAGAGATTATTATTATTATTATTATTATTATTATTATTATTATTATTATTATTATTATTATTATTATTATTATTATACCAGTATATGACCAAAATGAAAAAGAAAACCTGATTATAATAATCATTTTCTTTTTTATTTATTAGGAGATAAAGGAGACACAGGACCCAAGGGACCCCAAGGTGAAAGGGGACCGAAAGGTAAGCAAAGAAACTTATAACCGATCTTTGGGCAAAATTTTTATCTATATTATAATTATGCTTATTTCAAAACCTACAATCACAGTTGTATAATTCCTGACGTCAGATAACGTCTAGGGTTCGAAACCTACCGGTCTGAAAAACTGTAACAACATAGAGCATCAAAGTCTCCATTTCACAAAGTGAATTTAATTCCATATTTCAGCTTAATTGAGAGAAAAGTAATGACTTCACTGTCTTTAGCTGTTTTGAGCACATTGCATTGTTTACAGTGTCCCGCATTTAGTTTCCTGCAGTTTGACTATAAGGCCATGTATACAAAATATGTTATTGATCGTCCCCTACATAACAAAAGGAAATCACCCAACCATTTGTCTTTTGGCACAACTCACGAAAATATCTTCTCTTCGCCCATAATTCAACTTCCCTGTCTACCGACCGATCAACAACTCTTTTTTTACATGGCTTAATTGAATCAACAGTTTCAACAACTTTGGTCTTGTCATTGTGGTTAGCTTCCTTTCTCCTAATTCATCACTTTGTGGCAGCGAGGCTCAGACCTTATGACTTCTAGAGCCCTTAGAATATAAATGTATACAGGTAAAAGTTGCATATTACCATTATTGTCTACTAATTTATATAGAAAATTCCTGTTTCGATCTACAAATTTTCAACATGTTACAAGAGAGATCTACACTAATTAGTAAGGCCCCTAACTAATCGCCTTACTCCGTTCATCCTACCTAAGGATATGCCCTACCATATTTCAACACAAATATGGCTATTAAAGTTAAGCATGGAGACAGTTGTGCATAACATCCACCACTACGTTTATCCATGAGTTGTCTAGGTGAAATAAGTTAACCTGGACGTTAAGGCCCACTGATAAATTTCCGTAGAATTTTTGTGTTTTTGGGCCGTCTGTAATTAGGCCAATTCTTTTAGTAGTCAGAAATAATTGTTCTCATCAAAACTAATCGCGATGTTCAACATACTAGAGGGTGAGCGAGAGAAGTAATCTTTTTCTTTGCCTTAACTGATTACCAATATCGTTAATATTTCTTTAAAGATTTCCATAATCCTTTATATCGGAATATAGTAAGATGTTATTATTGTGTAATTTATGATAAACACAATATTTTACTATACCATGATACTACTATTTGTCTACTAAATTAAAATTCTATCGTTATTTCGTTTTTAATTCATTTCTATCTGTTTTCTCAAGGGCCAAGTGGCAACGACGGGCCAAAGGGAAGTCGAGGTGAAACTGGAAGCCGTGGTCCCCAGGGAAGTAAAGGCCCACAGGGTGAACGTGGGCCACCTGGACCTCGTGGTCCACAGGGAACAACCGGACCCAAGGGTGCAAAGGGATCTATAGGACAAGCAGGACCTAAGGGTGACCGCGGCCCACCAGGTAAGATATACAGCAGCTCTTTTTGTTTATAACTACAGTACTTCTATATTTCTCTCTTTGTAAAGAAATTTAGGAAAAGATGAATTGCGCCATCTGTATGTTTGTGGCCAACCTGTTCGCTAGATAGAGTGAAAATTTGGATTGGAGTTGAATAGCTTAGTGGTTACGATGCTTGCCTTCTAATCCCAGGGTCCTGGATTCAATTCCTGTCACAGCAGGACTTTTCCTCACGACTAAAAACAACTCCACTCCCAAAGCCTCATAAAGAGACGTCGCTGATAAAAGCATCACATTATTTCAGGTATTTAAAGAGGGCCCCTGAATATCAGCCGACCTTGTAGAATACGCTGGAAGGGTGTCACACTCTATAAATAAGTTTAAAAAAATCAATCGGGTTTGTCATTAACAAGCAGTCTTTAATAAATGATTAAGGTTTGTCAAATTCAATTTCAATTTCAAAGTAACTTTTTTTTTTAATGTAGCTTCCTTTGCGAACAATCGCGTATAATTGATTCTAGTTGCTGTTATTAATTGATTAGAACAGTCTTAGCAGGGTCACCGACGAGCAGGCAACATGACCCCCCATTTATACTCTTGGGTGAAGAGAGGCAGACGTAAGTGAAATGTCTTGCCCAAAGACAGAGGCAGTGCGACGAGCGTCGGTCCAGATCTCACGATCAGAAGTCCAACAACTTACACTCTGCGCCACGCGCTCTCATGGTGTAATGGAATATAAAGCTCTATACACACTATCAAAATTTTCTTTGAAAAAGAAACTGTTGTGTGCCCATATATAGTCACGATGTGCCTATATATGGTCATGATGTGTCAATATATAGTCATGATGTGCCTATATATGGTCATGATGTGCCCATGTATATATATATAGTCATGATGTTCCTATATATATGGTCATGATGTGTCCATATATAGTCATGATGTGCCTATATATGGTCATGATGTTCCCATATATAGTCATGATGTGCCTATATATGGTCATGATGTGCCGATATATAGTTATGTGCCTATATATGGTTATGATGTGCCCATAGGCCTAGTTATGATGTGCCTATATAATATGGTCATCATCTTGTGATGTCATCATGACCATATTTAGGCATATACTGTATCACAGGACATGATTGGACAGGGCTTTAGGCATGTCACATGTTTTTGTCAAATAACATTTGATAGTCTGGACAGGGTTTAACAAACATTAATTTATGTTTATAATTACAGGACCTGCAGGTAAAGACGGAGAAAAAGGAGATACGGGTGAGTGTGGAATAGGCATGTCTCACAATCTTATGAAAACGATAACAACGACGAATACGTAAAATAAATTGAATATCGACTGTAAAAGGTTTATATTTGTTTTGCAACTTTTGTACTGAAATTGACGAAGCTAAACCCAGTATACAGTATTTAAATTACTGTAATAAAAAAAATAACAAATAAATAAATAAATAAATGATATATATTATTGTAATACATTCTGTTTTAATGGTAATGTTTTTTGTGAAGCTGGGTGGTCGAGGGCTTCATAGATTCACTTTTGAAGTCCTACCCGACCTCCTAGTGGATTGTTTTGTGAACGTCTTGTTTTGGCAATAAAACAATAAGAATACGAATGAGTAATTTGTTTTTTCATTTAAAGGCAGGAAAGGTGATACCGGTGCCCGTGGGCCAAAAGGCGATACTGGTAGGTTTTTACAAGTGTAAACTTCCGTAATACAAATTATTTTGATTTTTTTTAATCGACTGTGAAGTGGCATCCGCTTCGTTGAGATAGGGATGATAATATAGTGAAATTAATTTTTAAAAATAATAATAATAATGCTGATGATAATGCGAGTGATATTAATTACGATAACGAGGGTGCTATAGCAATAATAGTGATGATGATGATGATGATGATGATGATGATGATGATGATGATGATGATGATGATGATGATGATGATGCAATAGCCAATAAATTAATCTTGAAATAGAGGTGCTGGTGGGGCGCAAATGGTACGTTGAGAGAGCCGATTAATATACCGTATTTATTTAAACAAACGCCCCTCGAATAAACGCATTCTCCAGAGCTCATTTGAAATAAACGCCTCACTCGAAAACGCCCTGGGCGCTAATTTTTCCCCCTTGAATAAACGCCCCCTAAATAACTGTCAAAAAAAAAACTAATGGAAGCAATATAATTTCCAACACGTTCTATTAATATTCTTCTCCGATAAAATTAGATTCTTCTTACCTGGTTGGGATCAGTAAATCTTCATTATCACGCAATGACACATTTTGACGGTAACTGTGTTGAGATCTACACTTACAGTGACATTAAGGGGCGTTTGTATGAGTATGTAGGCCTATGTATCTACTTTACACCAACAAATAAATAAACGCCTTCCTCGAATAACGCCTCTCTCGAATAGACGCCCCTCAAAACCCC